ACCTCGAATATCAAACTGAGGTTCAACAACAGACAGATAAGTAAAAACATATTGAAATGCAAAATCTGACAAATAAAATCTCTTTGCAACAAATTTTTCAAAAATCTTTTGGAGAATGTTGATGTATAAAATAAATAATAAAGATTATTTATCGCTTTTCTCGCTTTTTGAACTGAAAATATAAAAGAAAGCATCCACTTTTTTGATCATATGTTTAAAAATCAGGTGGGTCATCTGCGTGTCAGCTGCATAGAGTGATTGATTATAAATACAGGTATGTTTTGTACTCAAAAAATTCAAATTATTAGTATTTATAAGTTCTTCTTCTTCGTTGTTCGCGAAAGTAAGTTTTAACATTGAGTGAATTAAGTGATTCATTATTCTCATTAAACTTTTGTTTGCTCAGTCGCGCGCACACACAATCGGAAGAAGAGCATATTATTTTAATAAAATAAAAAAAGAGGGAAAATATATACAATCAATTATTAAAAATTTCGATCTCCGCATATTTTCGGTCTCTGTGCCTTATAGAATAAATATTATACGGCGAATGCTAATAATAATTTTTGCGGTAAGCACTTCACATTGCAAAACTTGCTGCTGCAGTTGATGATAGTTCAGCGTTTTTTTCGCGATATTATATCCAAGCAGGAATAATTAAAGGTGGTAAAGGGGAAAAATTGAACCATATAGTCAGTTAGTATAAAGTTTCGTATAAAATTGACCGGAATTAAAGGAATGTCTAACTTACAAAAGGTAAGTGTTGTTGTCCTTTATTTTACTCTCTTAACATCTCAGTATTAAGCGATAACATTCTTTAAAATTTACGATTATTTCTTATCTTATGTCTGTATGAGGTGCAATTAATATTAATATATCGTTTAAGAGCTATGGCTGTGTGCGTTTGGCTTGGTGCCTTTAACTTTGTTTCAACCTTTCAAGATAAGTACACTCTGTTCTCAAGCTATTAAAATGAATTTTATTGGCGATAGAAGTTGGAAAAAAACCTGAAGTGAAATTTGGATGTTTGTGATTTCGGTTTCATTGCAAATTATTAATGCCGTGTGATAACATATCTATTCGGGTTTATTGACCCGGCCAATACTCCCTTTTTTTAATATTGCTTAACCTTTCAAAAAAAATTTTTGTTTTATTACACTTCTTTCTCCGTTATGTTGAACGTAAAGTAATCAAATTATATTCCTTGAGTAAAAATTAATTGCACTGCACGCAGGAGAGAGTTTCGGCGCTAAACACAACAAAGTGCTTTTGCATCACGCATTGTTTAGCAACTGTCAAATTAAAATTTGATTTTATATGTTTACATCATCCATTTTGCGGTTCTCAAAAGAAACGTAAATAAGACAAACTTCTGATTGCGATTTGGATCCATTTTATTTTTTCAATACATTGCTCGGACCATGGTTTGTGGAATACAATCCTCATGTAAACATAACAAGTAGCATGCATTGCATTAGGAGGATTCATTGTGTCCAATTCTTTGCTCAACCCCATCTGTGATGTTCAATTCAAAAACTAATCAAGCACTTGGATAAATTCTCCAACAGTCCATAATATCGTCTTTTTTTTTTCTTAAATGGTGAACTGAAATATTTTTTCAAGTTCTTCAATATTTATAAATAAAACCATGTAGAATATATTCCTTATGCGTGCTTGCGATAGCAAGCAGAACAGATGGCTGGGCGACTCAATCGCGTCTGATCTTTGAAGCCTCCCGAAAGGTGGCAGGGTTATTCGTCAATGCGTTGCTCTTAGATTAAATTAGGGTTTCGTTCTTTTCCTGCCTTCCATTAGAATAAAAAATCGAGGACAATTCGTGTTTTATTTCAAAGGCAAAAAAGAGGAAGAACAAAGACCACAAATCAATAGTCAACTATTACAAAGTGAAAGTGGAAATGTGAAAATAGTTCTTCATTTTATTAAAAGTAGACCCAACCGTACCCTTCTTTTCCCCGAAAAGTTACTTGATCGTAGATAGTGCCTTAGTTTCGAATAAGGAACACAGTAACACCAAAATAGGCGTGCAGCTACTTTCCTATCTCTTTTCTTATTTTTTTCTGATTGGAATAAGTAACATTCTCTGAATGATTGGTCATATATATATACATGTATGTATATATATATACATATATGTATAAAATTCGATAAGTTTAACATTTAGCCTCACTTTTGTTAACTTAGACAAATTTAACGTTTGCTACGATGTGGTCTAATTACTTAACGGTTTAATACAATTCGTTTTAAGCTTAATTAAAATAGCAGTCGATAGGCCACGCTTGTCTTCTATTCGGTGCCTAATATAGTCAGTCAATCAATTTGTCTAATCAATATAGAAGAGAGCCAAATCTCTTTGTATCATTTATTCAAAAGTTTGGTCATTTAAAACTGAAGCGGATTGCTGCTTACGTACGGCCCCACAGGATTTGCAAGAGTTTACTTATACGCTTTGTAATATCGCAATTAAAATATTCCCCGTACGAAGTTCGAACCGAAATTTTCCATTGCATTTTGTTATTACTTTAATCATGTGTGTCATATTTCATGGAATGTAAACAGTCGTGCCGCACGAAGAAGAATACAATTACGTTGAACTCGGTTTATGACGAACATAACTTACCCTCTTGTTATAGTACATTGTCGCTCATTGTTTGTAAAAGCTGTTTCTTCGCATTCGTCATTTCAACATTAAATAAATTTTAAAGTTATGAAAGCAATTGTTTTCTTGAGAATGTTTTCCTTCTTTCTATCTAATTATATTTTGTTATCACAAAAAGGGGGAAAAAAAAAGAAACAACAGCAAAAGCAACTATTGCGTTACTGCGAACTTAAAACACCGTAGGCTCAGATATAGGCGGTTTTCGAAAGTTCACTTCACTCCATTAAGTTATTATACCTTTCGGGAAAGGAAAGTCTCTTGAATTAGATACATTTGTAAGGCATACATGGAGTTTTATTTTAGCGATGAGCGCGGCAGTTGTCGCGCTGATTAGCTTTCTTTCGTTCTTTTTGAAGAAAGTCCGGACGTTAAATAGTTGTAATTGCGATAAAAAATCATTATCTTCTCTAAGCTATAAGTTACAAAGGAAAACTTTGTCAAATATTTCTGAACTTGGTTCAGGTTATTCGTGGTTATGTACTCAGACAAAAGCACGGAATATGTACTAATAAATTCAAAAGCAGCTTATACCGATCGAGCATAAATATTCTTTGATATCTATTACTGATAGTTACAAATGAGATATTAAAACTAGTATTCCATTCTTTATCGATCATATATAAACAATTCTGTGAATGACTAAAATAAAAAACTGGTTTGCGGTTTCGAATTTACGAATAAATCTAACGTTAGTTGACTTATTATTAACTACGTACAGAATAATTTACAACATAGATTAACTACGTATAGAATGATTAATAAATGGATTGCGTATAAAAAAAAAATGGATAGGGAGAAAAGTATAAAAGTAATGCTTTGAAGTTTTTCCCTTTTGTAAGATATTTTAAATGCCTTTAATTAACAACGTCATACGATAAAATTGCTCTAATGTAACATATCCTTACGATAGACAATATTTATGCATTATTCTCAATTAAGCAAAAATAATTTTAGTAACGCGTAGAACGCGTACAGTCTTTTGTTGAATAATGAACATCACCAAAAGAAAAGTTGATCCAAAAGTCCAATTTCATTAGCCTTTAAAAAAAATTTTTATTTCTAATCAATTTTTTTAAAATTTAATTTAATTTGATCCATTTGATTGCGAACAACCATTGAATATCTTAGACTACGTTGCTTAACACATTTATTCGTATAACTGCTTTTCAAAATAAGGTGTTATAGAGAAAATGGTCGTAAAGTAGTCTGACTCGAATCATTTGATATAGAGTTCGTCCTTGGGACAAAAAATGTCGTATAATTTTATCTATCTGTTCGTGGAATCACAAAATTCAACCAAACCTAACGAGACGAATTTTCACCTTTTACACAATAGCTTTTTGACGATTATAACATAGGCAACAGCAGGCCTACAAAGAGATGTAAAGAACTGATCGAAGAAAAAAACTAAATTCATGTCAAAAATGTATCACAGACATTGGACGGGCAGATAGATGCGTAGAACAAAAATGAGAGACTAATTGCCTCATAACAATACTGTAAAGTGATTTAAGTAAAAAAGACTTTTTATAATGTCCGAATCTTACGGGGACAAGAAAGTGTAATAAGATATATTTCCATATTCGTATTATGTGGATAAGAGTAACGTTTTACGTCGCGCCAAATCGATAAAGCATAATAGGAATTACAAAACATTAACTCAGCTTATCCATATACAAAAGACCAGGGAATCAAATTATTACAACAATTTTTCCGTCTATATACGTTAATTACGAGCATTTGTTGGTAATATGATAAAATTTTTAAGATTTCTTTACGTAATTATATATTAAATGCTAAGTGATGAAGTAATGAAATGAGTTCTGTAATACAGTTTTGGGTTTGTTTTAATTTCGCTTTTCTAACAAACGAAAATTTTATAATATTTATAAAAAGTAATTTTGTTAGACATAAATAGTAAAACTCCCAGAACCAACTGACAGCAAGATATGAAATAAAATTTTGAAATAAATCAATTCTCTGTCTTTCAAAAACAAAAAAAAAAAAAAAAACTCACCCAATTCGTACATTCCTGTTATAAGAAAATTGGTCGTTTTTCTAAATCTTAACATTTATCGCGAATTATGCAGTGCGATGGCAAAGGTTAAAAAACCACTCTAATTTATGTGTAAACGCAGCTGTTAAGTGCTTCGCCCATTCTTGCAATATTAATTTATTTTATGGTTTCTATAGATGTTATTTAAGCGTTTTCGTACGGTAACTGTAATAATGGCAAAGAGCGCGTTTGGGATTGCTCGTGACAAACGTTCAATGCACAGCGTAAGTATAAGAGCGTAGATTAATAGAGAATGAAAAATTTTCTCCTAATTCTTACCATATATTATAGAGATTTTTCTTCCCTTGTCACTTTATCGCATGCGATTGTTCATGTGATTTTGCACAGAAAGCAACTACATGTTGTCTCGCATGATAGCTTCTTTTTTTTTTTTTTAAATAACATTTTATAAGTAACGAAAATAATTAAGGCCAAGTTTTATGTATAAATGTTAATGTAAATTAACTCTTGCAAATCGCATGCGTATTTGACAGAAGAGAATAAAATCGCATGTGTATAACCGCATTTGACAGATGAGAAGAAAAAGCCGGCTTTCAAAATTGGCTAAGTTTTAATCTTCCCTGAAGGATTCACACTCGCATCTACAGGGAAATTCCAAAAAATACTGTTGTTGCCATTATTTATTCACTAACGCGTATATGCGTGAAAAAAATGCACTTAAATCTATGTTGTTCTCAATTGTTTTAATGAAATAAATGCTTTCGTATTTTATGTTTTAATTTGACATTACTCTCAAAAAAGCCATGAACAAGGAGAAAAGCCCCAAATTTACATTTTTTGGCTTTGCTATACTATTCGAAAGTGTGTGAATGTGCAAAATTTTTCTGATATGTACATGTGACGCGAAGGAATTGAGCAAATTTAGTACACAAGTGCCTTTCGAACGTTACGGTGAATTATTTGAGTCACATATAAACATATTTTTATTTATCGAAAATTTGACTTAAGTGAAATTTTGTTTGAAAACAATTTGTTTTTGAATTATGAAACAAAATTTATCCAGGAAAGTTGGAAAAAAATCAATTTCGCACGAACGGATTTGGCAGCTCTTTGGGCCTCAAGTAGGTGAAAGTTGAACGATTTTATCCTTTTGCAATTATAGTGAAAAATCTAGAATTTTCTCCCCGCATGTTATTGATTTTTGCATGATTTCATGCTACTGATGCAAATTTGTTTATGTACACGAAAATCTGCCATCTTTTTAGGCTACTCTAGAGGACATACGGCGTACGGCAGCACGGGTGTGCGGCGATTATTTAAACGGTCGTTGGAAAGAAGTCTCCGCGGATCAGCTAATAGTTAAACGAATTAGGTTAGCATAATCCCTATTTTCATAGAGAAGAATTTTGACAAACATGTTTGCAGTTTGAGAAATTTGAAATCATGCAATGTCATTTTTTTTTTTTTTTTTATAGTGGTGGCCTTTCCAATTACTTGTATTATGTAAGCTTACCCCCGGCTGTGACTGACGGAGTTGGATTAACAACAGAGTGTGCAGATGGTGGCGACGATGTCAGCCGAGAAGATATTGATTTGCCTAGTGCTGGCTATTCCAAGCCCCAAATATCTGCTACTATAGGTGAGTCATGCTTAACCACAACAACAACAGCAACAACACCAATAAGAGCAATTGCTCAGAATGATGTGAATAGCAATGAATTGGTTTCTAGAGTACTATTTGGTGATGATTTTAATGCCAACATCAAACGTAAACGCTACGACAGCAGTTCCTCGGCAATATCACTGCCTCAACGACAAAGTGAACCTCAGGAAGTTAGTTTATGATGAAATTTAACGGCCTATATCCCTTGTTATGTTTGGGAATATCTTATTGCAGGTACTCCTTCGCATCTATGGTCAATCGCATGGCGAAGATGCCTTAGAAGCTATGATTACTGAATCTGTAGTATTTGCTTTGCTAAGTGAACGTAATTTCGGGCCCAAACTTCATGGTATCTTCCCAGGTGGGCGCATCGAACAGTATATACCAGCCAGAGCTCTTTCAACGCTTGAGCTCGCAGACGCAAGAATATCTTGCAAAATTGCTGAAAAAATGGGTGAAATTCATAGCTTAAATATCCCAATGTCCAAGGAGCCGGATTGGTTATGGAATTGCATACAACGTTGGCAAAGTCAATTACCTGCGATTCTCAACAGAAATGATTGGCATGGAAATCAATGTCATGCCGAATTTGTTGGCGAATTCAACTTTATAGAGGAAGCTCTTTGGATTAAATCAATTATTAGTATGACCAATTACCCAGTATTGTTCTGTCACAATGATTTGCAAGAGGGCAATATATTAATGCGTCATGACAAAGCTTCAAACGAGCGCACTTCTCTTCGCGATTCCTTAAGCAGTCTAAGGCAAGTGTTTTATCGACTACACATATATGTTTATTGCAATACAAAAAAAGAACTATTTTTACATTATACTATATAATTGTAGATCTCATTTAGAAGACTCAGTTTTAGAAAATGCGAGTGACTCAATGATCGCGAATAATACAAATATCTTAAAAACGTAAGTTGAATGATTTCATTTTTCGCAGAATTGAAAATGTATACTTCATTAGATCATTATTAGGGATCATTGTAAGTATATCTATGTAACTTTAGGGGTCTGTTCGCTCGTTGGGAAGAACTCAGAGAGAAATAAAGGTTTCATGCCATGCTGATGCGTATGCCCTCAAGGACTTTGCGCTCAATGCATACAGGGCGTGGATGTTGGCTGAAAAAACTCTTTTATACAAAGAAACGTTTCAATACTTGTGTTGGTCGTTCTAATTTCAGAAAGCGTTCCAAAATAACGGACCATAACGATAAAAATTGCTCAGCCAATTTGAATTGCTCAATTGATTCGGATCGGTGTAATCTAGCAGCTCCAGATTTAATTATAATTGATTTTGAATACTGTGCCTATAACTACCGAGGCTTTGATTTGGCTAATCACTTTTTGGAATGGACATTTGACTATAGCAATTCGGAATTTCCATTCTTTCATCATCACAAAGATCAATATCCCAGCAAATTGCAACGAGACCAATTCATACGCGTCTATTTGAAGAAACTAAATGATTTCGATGATGATTACGAAGCCGCTCAAGAGGATGTTGAATCAGTGGAACGGGAAATTGAATTATTCAGTATGCTTTCACATCTGTTCTGGGGATTGTGGTCGGTGGTGAATACTACATCTAATATAGAGTTTGGTTATTGGGTGAGTATTGATTGATTTCCTTAACTTCTATTTGTCACATTTCTCTATGAGATATTTATGTACTCATAGGATTATGCTGTGACCAGAATAAAAGAGTATCAACAACTTAAGCAAGAGTTCAATTCGTCGATCGTATGTAAAGAAAAACAACCGTCATGTAAAGAACATGAAATTTTCTGATTATTTCCGCTCTGAACGAGGGAGTTCTCCTAATCTTCGAACAAGTCTAAAATCGCAAAGCGGAGGAAGAAGGATTTCGTTGAGACTTCTGTCCGACCTTGCATTAGCAGCTTGTCCATAAACATGCGGAGCACTTGAAGCACTTACATTTTACTGCTGTGATGTTATACTTAGTTGTTTCTAATTCATTCTTTTAAATATTTAAAATTGTACATTACTTATTTACGATATTCGCTTTTCCAAAGCAATATTGATATGTAAACCAGTCTAAGCGCTACAACAGACTACTTCTGTGAGATACGTTTTTGCTTATCCTGTCTGTTGTTGAACATCAATTTGATATTTGAGGTAACATTTTGTTGTTTAATTTAATATAAATTATAAATGAATAAATTTTATTGCTCTGGTCATTATAATCCGGAAATTACATTTAAGACAAGTAATCATTAATTTGTCTCTCGTACTTAATTGTAATTGTATCAACATGCGAAATAGTTTAATAAATAACGTTCTAATAAAGAAATCCGAAGTCATAATATCTACTGAAAGGTAGAAACGTATCTATTGTTAACGAAGTTATTCCTCTCCTGCAGTGGGATGTAGACTATAATCCTATTATCGCTAAATGGTACAAAAATTGATTTACGCCAATATCACCATGAACTGTTATAATTTTGCCCTTTGTCAGAAGTACCATCAAGTCTGAAGATTTTACAATAACGGCGAAAAAGCTATCCGCGTCGAAATATATTGAAAGTGGACAATATGCTACAGTGGCAGCAATTTGCATATACTTTGGCCATGAAAAATTACCCAAAGGAAATGCAGGAAAAGGTAGAAGAAGCACACAGTTTTTTCAGTTTGCACTTAAATTTTTTATTTATATCAATATGTAAAGACACTGTATTTTAAATTTAAAGATTATTTTTCAAATTTATAAAATACGTATAGAAACAATGAAGAGAGTTATATGCGGCAGGGACCGAATCTCCTAAATTTGTAAGATAAATTTGCAGTGCTTCTCCTTAAGGGAGCTATTTAACCTTTGCATGCATTTCCACATACTGCTTCTGAATAGTATGTAAAAGGGGGACACCTACTTCTCGATTCCTTGCACATATTTTCATTCACAATTGTTATGCATTTTTACTTCTTCAACAACTAAGCCAAGGATGATACGGTACTAGATTTGCTATATAATAAATGCCGATCCAAAATGATGATGATCTGTTCATAGATGATGTGCAACGTCTAATTGCCTCGGTAGAGGTAGAGGAGACAGAATTTCTTAACATGAATTCCTTGCCTGTCCTAGTACTCATATACTCTTAACTATACTTTTTGCATTCTAGTCTCAAAGTTCTTTTATTTAATACCTATGTGTTAACAAAAACTTAATCGTGGCAGATAATATATCTTCATTTAGGGAGTGTACAAAATAGTTTTGAACATTCTGCCTTGTTTGCGTTATGACAAATAAGCATAAAACATTGAAAAAATAAAATTTAATCACTTGTAACTTTCTGTGGGCACGGCCGATTTTCTCATGTTTGCACGTAAAAAGTAGATTTTGTAGGGAAACCAAGTTAAAGGAATAGAGCTCGTGAACTTTTTTCATATGAGGTCACTCTAGTTGTTCTATTACTTAGTGTTTTGTAAGTAAACGTGCCAATTATCAGCCTTCTTACTTTAATAATTTCCGAGTAACGAGCAAAAAGCTACAAATTTTTGTTAAAAAAAACGGAGTGGCGTTCAGTTTAAGCTCGACTGCGAGTTTGTACTCGGACCAAGTTGGCCACCTGTGCAAAAACTTCCAGTGTTTGCACCAAATTTGAACTCAATATCTTCATTATTTCTTCTTCATTTTTGCGGCCGAAAGAGCGCCAACAGCGAACACCACACAGACTCACAGATGGACAAACGTTGGTTAATGAATCCAGAATTTCATTCTGATCAAAAATATATATATATTTTATAGCGTCTCTGAAGCTTCCTTTTGAGTGTTGCATAAATTATGAAAAAAAAAACAGTAGCAGCATATCTTGGAACTTGGACCCTGTTGCTCCCGAGATTCAGAACTGTTTGAAGACGATAATGAAGAGGCTGCGAAGTTTTATGGGTTTGCTGGTTGCCAAGCTCGCTGGAAAGAAGTAGATGATATGTCAACCATACCTGATGATTCACCGAGCCTGTCGCCAATATTATCGGAAACAGCTCTCTCACCAGCTGAAACTGGTGCTATTGTTTTTTGAAACAAATCCCGCTACCGTCGGCTTTCTTGCTGATCAATTAATAACAATACATTACACTTATTAGACAGTAAATTAATTAGCTCGTACTTACCATCATCAAACAATGTTTACAAAATCAATGTGTGGTGCACGAGTTCGAAACAAAAACATCTGTTGAATGTAAACATATCGACGGTTGGTGTACGAGCTCAAAATATTTACTTGAACTAATTGATGGAATCGCTCTTTCCTCCAGCACTTTCCATTTCAGAATTTGACCAGTCTACAAAAATAAGATTACAATACATTTATTACACATTAAATTAATTAATTTTCCATGAAGACCAACCAACTTATAAAGATTTTACAAATGATTTTTTCAATTAAAATGTTTATTTATTTCTAACTTTATTTCTCGCTTCTTAGCTTTCATATTTTGATTTCCCTTATTTCCACTTCTCAAATCACATGTTGCTTGTTTGTTATATTTACGTAGATTGCTTTACAATCACATCTCTAACGGTATGATAAAGCAGGTGACAGAGTTGTTTCTTAGTGTTGAAGCAGTTGAAAACTCCTTATTGGAAAAAATGACGATATTTTGCAAATTCGATATTACTTTCCAATACATATACATTAAATTAATTTCATATTTTTCTTATCTTCAAGTTTCCCTCTTTATTAATATTTATCGTCTTAATTCGGCTTAGGATTAAATATTTAAAAAACTAGAAAAATTATCTAAAAGAGCAAATAATGTTCTCTTGAAAATAAAAAAAGTTAATAAGCGTCATTTATCACAAGTATACTGATTTGTATTCCCTTGTATGTAACCATGAATTCTAATATCGTGGGTACAAGACCCCATATTGTAGATATATGAGAGTATATAGGTTGTATGATTGAATTCGAAATGACAAACAGGAATGAAAAAGAGAAATGATTTAAAATTGTATAGAAAATAATGCCTGGTAGTTGAGTTCGACAGGAAAAGCCTAGTATTTGAATTCGAAATGAGAAACTGAAATGAAAGAGCGAAATGATTTAAAATCGATCGAGCGATGGTTTGAACTTCGAATTTGGTAACTTGAGAGAGCGATTGTTTGAACTTCGAATTTGGTAATGTTTGTATCGAAAGTTTTTCGTAGTCTTTATGTGTAAGTAAAATATTAATTTTGTTTGCATTTGGCGCATACGATCCAAATTGGATGTCTTCAATTCCAACAAATAATTTTGTAGAACGCCGCAATTGCCAGCGATTCTTCTCATTCATGCTTCTATGAACTTTCTATTTATCTAGTACTTTGCAAAATAACTGCGACATAAAAATAATATTAAATTAATTTTCTCAAGACAACGTTCTGATAAGAAATTAGTGGTTGCGAAAAACGGCAAAAGCAAAATATTAAAAGTTTGGCAATAATTTGCCTAACGCAAACATTGTGTGTTTAAAATGTAGCCTGTATTAAGTGCTATTATGAAAACCGACTACTTTTTATGTAAGTATTCCGTAGGCATCCTTCGCTTGACAGCTGTTTGATGTACACATATTTGTTTTGTACGGCCCTTTAGCAACATTTTAAATATTTTGTCAACAATTGTAGCAACATTAGAAATACACCACAAAGTAAATTTTACTCTGAGAAATATAATTTTATTCTCAACAAAGTCAAATTAGAATTTTTCTCTTTTTTCATACATATTTATTAATCCTTTTTTTTGGTAAACAAATTTTTTTTTTATTATTATTCATACGCATTTTACGGAATTGTTAATAAGTAAACATTAAAGCATAACTCACACCGTAAAAAACGAACAAAATTACATTAAGAAATAATATTAAACTTTCTATAATGCAGAGGGATCAAGTTAATAATTTTAAGTTTTAATAACACTATTATAGAGGTAGGAAAAAGTATTCACTACTTACAACTGTTGTAAGTAATAATCTTTTGAATATCACGTATTCTTCATGTTTTAAATAATTTAAAGAAAGAAAATTTATATAAAAAATTAACGAAAACATCCAATTCATATAATACTAATAAAATTCCATTTAATATTATTGAAAATACAAATATCAGGACTAATATAATAAAACGATTAAATTTTTAATCCCCTATTATATACTCTCTCCTACTATAAAGTACTAAAGAAGAAATTATTAGTACAAAATAACTGATTGCCTATGCAAACTCTCGGTTTTGCTTTGTTTCATTGCTCATGTAGACGCAAGGTAATGCTCACATAATTTTTAAATGCAGTGATTAAGGAACGATAACGATAATATAAGATTTGCAAATATTATAAAGAGAAATGTTTTAAAAAATTAACAAAATAAAATTTGCAAAAAATGTCATCCGCTATATATTTGGAAAATTATTTAGATGGTGAGTAAAAGAAAGCTAGTTAGCATATTAAGGTCTTGCGTGAAATTAGTAAAAAAAAAAACAAAAAAAAATATTTTGTGTATACATATGCATGTATATGCTATGTCCCCTCCTCATAAAAACTTTTTTTTTTCATCAATTGTAATTATTACACTTTGCATTCATTTCCAATCAACCTATTCTAACCACTTGAAAAAATCTCTTCTAATTAAAAAAAAAAAAAAAAATCCAAACTCCAAACAAAAATAAAAATGCCACGCTCATACATACATTCAACAAAAACTAAAGTCTTATCCAATATAGGATTAGAGTCACTGCCAACAGAATTAGAAAGAAATTTCAAATTAATGCGTAAATTAGACGACAGAGCCCAAACTGCAATGAAGAGCATCGATAGTCGGGCTAAAGAGTTTATGCGCAAATTGGCAGACACTTCATGTACCATGACCGAGGAAGAGCGCAAAAAATGTCTCTCTGATATACAACAATTATTTGGTAAAGCCAAAGAATATAGTGATGATAAAGTGCAATTAGCTATACAAACTTATGAGTTGGTCGACAAACAAATAAGACGTTTAGACAATGATTTGGCACGGTTCGAAGGAGAAATACAAGAGAAGGCATTATCCACCCGCAGCAAATCGGAAGAAGCACAAGTTAAAAGTAAGTTGTTAGTGTAATATTCCTCTGGATGATAAGGTTTTGCTTATCATCTATCTATTTATATATGTAGAAGGACGTAAAAAGACTAAAGACACCAAGGCAACAGGTAAAAGAAAGCGAGCCGCTTCTTCTGAAGATGAGGCGAATGCTAACACTGCTACCACTGCAACAACAATCAGTGGGCAAGGTAGCAAAAAGAAAAAGCAGAAGGTAAATCAAGAAAAAGAATCACGCAAGGGGGGTCAAAAGGTAATCATCTCATCAGCATCAAATGTATTTCCACATTTGTCATAAATTGTCATAAATTTATTTTAATGTTGATTTTAAATTCGTTTTGCAAATCAATTGCTTTATGTTTTTTTTTTTGTTGGTATTGTTTAGATGGATGATGGATGGGTAGTTTTCTAAGTTTTAATAAATTTATTTTTATTTTATTTTAAAATGGTTTTATGATAAATGTATTTGACTGGTATTTATGGAATGATTAATTTTTTAAACAATATTTTATAGATAATAATAACATGTATATACACATATTTGATGCCGTACCTGCATGTCTCTATTCTTCAACCGCAAAAATTGTTCTTTACACTCTTTACGGTGCATATGATATAGTTTAAATAAAGAGTAGAAAGTAACATTTTTGGTGTCGAAGACTGTCGACATGAATGAATAACGCCCACATACACGTCCCTATATGTATATATATACATATATATGTATATATTAATATTTAAATTTAAAATGCATGCTTACATACATAACCAAACATTACCAAACATTGTTTCCATTATAGCATGATATTTGCAAATAATTTCAATTCCTTATTCGCTTAAGTTTAATCAAATATACGCCCTTTTACTTTTCCCCATTAGAAAAATATTGATTTAGACGATTCTGAAAAGGAATCTTGTCATACTGCAGCTACACATCCCAGTGATGTTTTGGATATGCCGGTTGATCCAAATGAACCCACATATTGTTTATGCCATCAAGTTTCTTACGGTGAAATGATAGGATGCGATAATCCAGATGTGAGTTTTGTCTATTATAAAGAAATTCGTTACTTCATTCTATTCATTATTGGTATCCTTAATATCTGCATAATGTTCCATAGTGTCCCATTGAATGGTTTCATTTCGCTTGTGTCGGTCTTACAACGAAACCGAAGGGAAAATGGTTCTGCCCAAAATGTACGCAAGATCGAAAGAAAAAATAATTTTTTTTTTCTTTTTATTTACAAAAAATTTAAATATTTCTATAGATGGTAAGACAAAAAAAAAAACTTTTTATAAGCACTATTTTTTTAAGATTTTTATATGGCTTTTAAAAAGCAAGATTCTAGGTTAAGTAAAATAAAACTTAAATAATTGTATATCACCCCAGCTGTGACGGTTACACTAATGCGGTTATTTTTAAAAAGTATTTTTCACATATATACAAAAATCAAGGCATGTTATGTTGTCAATATTGTAAATGTATTAAATTTGTTTTGAAAATTTTAGCTTCACATTTATGTTTTCACGCCTTAAGATGGATGTCATGTGTTTCCTAATTTTTTATTTTTTTTTTTGCTTTATATTTACGTCTGTCAAAACATTTGCGTAGTTGACCGTCCTAAAGTGCAAATCTCCTTTTAAATGTACACATGGAAAAACATAATCAATCATTCGTCTAGTATTTCTTTTTCATTTGTTGAATATTTTCAAAATTTTATTGCCACTAAAAGTCTAAAATAAATTACAAATATATATTGGTTTCTTTCGTTTATTAAAAAAAAAAAAAAGGAAATAACCAAACAACTGTAAATTTAACGTAAATAAATTTTTCAATAAAATGCAATAATTTTTTCGGTTCGTTAACTTTTCATTTTTTTTTTTTCGGTTTTTGGTAAAGGTGCAATTATTTCAACGTGTACCTTACAATGATGATGATCTCTGGTGATGATGGTCTCTGGCACAGAAATAAGTATTTCATATCCGGGCTCATATTTTATAGTAACTTTTCTTTATTTTCATACTTTTTATTCTTTTCTCATTCAATTTTGTTCTTATTAGATGTCAGCGCAATTTTATATAGACGCGCATCTTTAATTTAAGAATGAAACTACTTTATTACTGAAAGCTTTAAGGTTTCCATTTCCATTGAAATAGCCATCATTCATAGCAATTTAGTCATCTGTGCTGCTATCTGGTGGAAATGAATGATTCGAATTTCTCCATAAGCGTTTTAGCCAATTCTCTCGCGATGCATTCGCCGAATATTCTTTATTCATTTTTGTGAGGCTATGGAATACCGCCTTCATTGCTAATGCCCGTCTGTATGAGTATTGCTTCGTAGCATGATATAATTTTTGTAGAAAATCTGGCATTTGTCTTTGTGTAACCCAATTTTTTATACCCTGCGGTATGGGTACACCGGGATCGTCAAAGTATGTTAAAACATAATGCAAACCTGGTTCATGGAAGCCTTGAAAGGGCTTTATAACCATTAAGCTCCAGTATGTATTAACGCGCACTTTCCCCGACATTTCCGGATAGCGGGGATGGCAAGTGCCGCGATTTGCTATCATTATTACTTTGCGTTTATCGTCAGTTATAAAACGTCTACAATATACGTAATCTCTATTGGCAAAAAATTTTGGCCATTGCATTTCCCAATAAATGAGATGTGAATTGTTTCCAGGATCTGGATCTTCTTCAATTAATTTCAATACCACTGCCGTATCGTCCCATTCCTTTCTATAATCTAAATCTGTTTGCACATGTAAAAAGTCGGCCGCTGAAATATCTTTAAAACTAGCATAAACTTTGTAGGAGCACATGGACTTTTCCTCTTCTCGTTTCCATATGCTAAATTGATCTTTACTAAAATATGGCTGCCAAGGATTCACACTATCACTTTCTATAATTGCTTTGCCCATAAGGGCACCACCATCCACACCGTCTACGCCACCCCCCCGATACGAGGAAATCAGCGGCTTTCCCGAATCGTCTGACGATTTATTTCCTATCAGGCAATAACAGTACTTCATTGATTTTTCTTTGCATAACGGGCATAGTTTGTTCTTTGACAATGTTTCGATAAACTCAACATCTCTTTGGCATTTATCAAAATTTGCCAAACTCAAACGTTCTCGTCCCCAATCATAATTGCCACCGCCTGTTAAAGATATACCCATAACGCTAGCGGCGCTTAATACCAGATTTTTACCCTTAAACGGCGGCAAATGTCGGTGATATGATCTTATTAATATTTTAAGACCTTGCGTTCCATAAACGTGATGATAAAAGGTAAACAGTTGTTGTATACGCCGTGATCTCTGCGCTAGTATTGATTCACATTGATATATCCAAGCTTTTAGTGTAACGTTTGACTTTTGCTTGATACTTGAAATTATACGGCTAAATATCATGACTTTTCGTAATTAGTTACGAGGCAGGCCTTTTGGTACCAAGTGCATTCTAATCACTTAATTAATTCATTCAAATTCCTTCCTGCTTATAAGAGCTTCAATGCTTGCATAACATCATTTCAATACCGCTGTGCCGGCAAATTAACAACTTTTTTTTGGGGTTTTTTTTTTTAATTTCTATTGCACCAAAGATTTTTTGCTACCAAATTAACTATGGAAAATTTGTTGGCCTTTGTGTTTCTATTACAAATGCAAATTTTTCGTCTGGGTTTTTGTTATGATGAAAAGGACAGATAAACCGAAAAAAAATTTTTTTTTATCAAAGTACATATGTTTATAAACCTGACAGCTGCTACAAATTTCAGATGTAAATAAATTAAAGGAGCAGACACAAGTCGATAGAAATGTTCATAAACGCTCAATAACGTAATCAAAAATGTTAGATACATGTCACACAACATTGGACACATAAGGGTTGCCTAAATATGCATTAATTATTTTCATGCTAAGTCAATTTGGTTATATTCGTTCCAATGTTCCCTTTGAGAATATTTACGTAAACGTAACAACAATAATTCGCTTATGTAGTTGCATCAATAACCGCAATTACAACGTAAGATTCTAAGATAAACTAAATTAATTCAAACAAGTATAATTATCGCTGGTATAGCGGGCGTCACAAATTTCATAGAAATTTGATTTTTGTCTTTGTATATATCGCTGTTCGGAACGTGTGGAAATGAATAAACTCAATAGAAAATGATACTTTAAACCATTTTTCATGTCATTCAATTAGGCAGCGCTTGGAACAATAACATTCAATAATTTTGGCAATCCTGCTCATGGTTATTTGTGCTGAAATGTTTTGGTTAATGTTTAAGGAAGAAATGGTTCAAATTTTTCTGAAATTAATTAAAGACTGAAAGAAAAAGTGAATAACTTGCAGGAAAAATGGCCATGAGACGACCCAGAATTAAGGCTGTCGCTAATATTCAGTTAAATACGAAGCGAAAGTCAAAACCTACATTTGATTCTGTGCCTGCGAAAAGTGGAAGAATACAGGAATCGAAAATTAATGAAAAACCTACTAACATTATTAGAAAAGAGGACGAAGACACAAAAATTTCAAATTGTAAAGAAAATGTAGAAGCGCTAGTTGAAAATGTGGTAACTGACGAAAATTCAAAGGAAACTCCAAACTCTGAAGAACCTATTGAGGCAACGGCAGCAAATTCTAAATTAAATATACAAAAAACGTCAAGTTCTTCAAAGATTGTTACGGAAACAAAATGGGATGATGGCCTTAATGAGGCTTTAGAAACAAAAGTGAAAAATGGTGCAGCTGCGGAGGATAGCACAAAGGCAAAAAAAAATTTGGGACAAAATTCTAACTTTGAACAACTAAATGTCTTCACAATTACACCAAGTGTAGAAGGAGAGTTAAGTGTTTCAAAAACGGAAGCAAATCGTCTTGGAAAATTTGATGAAATTGTTCCAAAAGAAGGAGAAGTAAACAACACGTCAATATGTTTACAATCGTCAAAAAAAGATGAAATTCATCGAAGTTTAATTGTAGATAAAAATACTTTCCATGCCGATAGCACGAAAACAGTTTTTCCCACGAATAGCAACGAATCAAACTTTACGAAGGTGAGTGCGCCTATAGACGATAGGGATGCTTTCAAATGTCCAGCAAAAGTTGAGTATTCACGTTCAGTTAGCCATTCCTCAGCTGGAGGTGCAGACGATGTATTCTACAGCGATTTGGAGGAGAATGTATTGCAAATGGATTTGCAGAGATCTGCAAATGGCTTTCCAATGTCCCCTTCAAAAATTCAAAGCAGACAGCGTATACGTCCTACGCCGATTTTTGGGCAAAGACGCAATAGCTTTGTAGGTTCTTCCCCATCGTCCCATAGTTCGGTCCAGGAAGAACCGTTGACATGTACAGATTTTCAAAGGAAGGAACGTTATCATTCAGCTTCAGTGAATAATACAGCTAACAGTTCTACTAGCCAGCAGAACCTTCATTACACTTCGTATAACAAAAATGCAAGTAGTGGGCGTGTCCGAACGGAATCATCTTGTTCCAATTTTTCTGAAATCAATTACACTATGCATAAATCACGGAGGAATGATGACCTTGTGCACCGTCAACATTTACGTAGAGAATTTGAAGCACGTTTTATAAATGGAGTCCCAGATAAGTCGGCGTTAAAAATGTTTGATTTAATTTATTACAATCCAATCACAAATCCTATGGAACAAAAAGCGAATGAAAATGTTAAAGTAGAGGCAAACAGTAATGACATTAAACCGTTCGAAGCAAAACAGGAAAAAGCAACCGTTGATGATAAACTCGATACAAGTGCATCTATGCCAGTTCCGCAATTAAAACTTAATGCCAACGGAGAATTAATTTTAGATGATGAATCATTGGTAGTAGAAACAACTGCCGAACGGAAGGCACGCAAAGTTTGGGAAAACTCGGAGCTCATTTATTTGGATGAAAATACTGGCATGAATGGTTTTTATAAAAGACAAAAACGTACCCGCGAATGGGAATGGAGCGAAACAATTAAATTCTATCGGTGTTTACAAACAGTAGGCACAGATTTTTCGCTCATGGTATCTTTGTTTCCCAATCGCACCCGACGAGATCTTAAATTAAAATTTAAAAAGGAAGAACGAATCAATGGCGCTCTGATCAACAAAGCTCTGTTGCATCCCAAGCAATTCAATATCGAAGAGTTAAGACAGCAAGTGGAAGCCGAAGAAGAGGAGCGGAAAAAATTACAAAGCATGAGTAAAGCTTACATAGAGAAGAAAATTAAAGAGCCCAAGAAGGTAAGTAAAAATTTCGTATCATCTACTTACATATTTTATTAATTTTTTTTTTTACTTTAGAAAAAATGCGCCCAACAAAGCGCTGCCAATCGTTTACTATGTGGTTACGATGTTTATGAAAACGAAAATCAAAAAATTAAACGAAGAAAGAATGATAAAATCAAACTTATTGACGGAGATAAAGATAAAGTTATTGAAGACAGTGGTAAAGAACAAGATGATGCCAGCACCGTATTGAACGAAGAGTGCAAACGAAAAATTGCAAAAACAGGTGCAGAGAAGCGCAGACGTAGACGACCGACACCCATTAACAACGATATCAGCCATTTGAAGACCCAACAAATCATTAAAAATGAGGAATCGTCGAAATATGAAGGCAAGCAGGAGTCTCTAAATATAAGTTGCAATGCTCAAGAAGAAGATGTGAAACAATTGGAAACAGAATTAAATAATTTATTACAAACTGAGTCGTACGAATTAACATGCGCAACAGATGCTGTTACCGCCCCTGAATCTGCGCAACCAGTAAAAGCTTCTCTTATAAGTTCCGTTGAAGATTTTCAAACAACGGGTTCAACAAGTGTTAATGACTGCCACGAGTTCACTTTAACTAACATGGATGACGGCACAATTACTCATGTTATGGACTTAAAGAACGATTGTGATGAGAGAATTTCACTAAGCGATGAAATACAAGAACCGGATAATGACTTAGTACAGCAGAATATACAAAAAATTTTAACAGAATTGGCCGAAGGTACTTTAGTTCTAGTGTCTACGTTAGATCCAGATAATCCTGATAATGTACTCAATGAAATATATATGATGGACAAAGACACGGGAGATCTATGTGATGAACCCTTGAATATACCCGATGATATTGTGCAGCGTATGTTTGCGTGTAAAATTAACTAAACAAAAGTAAATAAGATTAGATGATTATAATTTTTTTTTTTTTTTAAATTTATATATATATATTTATGTGAATTTTGAAGAGATGAAGAAGCATTTTCTATTATATTTATTTGAAAAAAGATGTTAAGTTTTTCATTAATTTTATTTTTTGCAACCTTCCATTAAATACATAATTTGGTATAAAAGTTGAATTTTTTTGTACAATACCATAAGAGAAAACTTCGCGTTTTAAAAAAAAATATGAAAAATTATGAAAAAAGTATAGTAGAATAAAATAATATTTTGAAGCAATGAACTACACTGATTGTTTATTCAACAAGCCATGTAAAAACGTTTCCGTAAAAACAACATCGAAAACTTCGTAAAGAACCTAACGAAACGACAAAAACACTAAATCGAGGTGTGGCTTAACATTGCTTAACAATGCTTAATTTTGAGATCGTTACGTATAGTTAAGAAATGCGTCTGCACTATCACTTCAGCGGAATACTTCCGTAGGCCAAATGGTAAGTTTGTGATTTGTGAATATTATTTCTCCATTTTCGTAAAAAAATTGAATTTTCACAAAGTCATTTTGAATTGTGTTCTAAATAATGTTTTCTATAACACATAAAACTGCTTTAGTAAAAATTTCATTCAGAAATTATTAAGAGAGGAAATTTTTTCTTATATTGAGCAGGTGGACAAGATTGCTAAGCACACCCTCCACCAGGCTTTATGTATTTGAACCACCCGGTTTTCCTCAGGCAATTACTTCACCTTATAAATTCATTTGATCCGCTGTTCATTTCGATCATTGGAACCATTCGAAGGTGTTCTTGCGATCAACTAACGCCTCAGTTAACAAGAAATCAGATAAGGAATGTCTGTCCGTCTTAGTTTTGGCCATTTTTTAACCTGTTATTTGAAAATGGACTTTTCATGACGTGCAAAAGAGTTTGAAATGGCTCTTCTTGGAGTTGCGTATAGGTCGCCGGAATTGCTAGGCAAATAATCGCTGGTCTTTATTAAAAAATTTTTTCATTTTCTTTTCAAAATCGGCATGTAAACTTTAGTAATTAAGCACATCTCCTAACGGTAGCTTGATGTTAACCGCTCACTAGACGGTGTAACTATATGGTAATTTCTGATTTGCTCGGGCAAATTAGCTAAAGATATTAGTTAAAGGATAAGAATTTTCTTTTTACGATTATGTGTCATTTATTAAAACTTTTTATTTTAAATTTGCGTAACTTTTATAGGATCACAGCTTCACTTTTCGTCATTTTATATTATTCAATGTTATGAAAACGTAATTTGCCATCAAAACCAACAGTTAACAACTCCGCCGAACTCAACCAACTGCAATCACGTATAAAATGCTCAGAATCGGAATTCTCGTAACATGTAGCGTGATTTGGAATTTTTGAAACTTTCACAATGTTTGTGTCAGCAATAACAGCCAAGTTGTCACTGTGAAAATTTAATTATTGTTATAACGAAAAAATGTGATCATTAGTAAAACAAAATAACTTACTGATGCGGTCGGATCTTTCTTATAGGACGATCAAAATATTTTGATTTATCTAAATACTTTTTAGGACTGCGTTTATCTATTGTCAATATATAACCACATTCATCTCCCGCGTAAATAATACAATCGTTATTTTCCAGAGACCAGCGCACTTCTTTAAAACGTACATCATGTTTTTCATATAAAGCTAAAGCGAAAAAGAATTTTTTTTTTTCATTTTTGCAAATATGAACATGACGTAATTACCCAAAGCTGGTCTTATTTCGCGGTCATCCCATATTAAGCAGGACTTGTCCAAAGAGCAGGTAAGAAAGATATTATCATTAGTCGAGGAGGCTGCCAAACCGGTAATAACATCGCTGTGAGCGAACTGGAAACTTTTATCAAGGAATAAATCAGCGCTACCCATATCCCAAATCTGTTAGTGTAAAATATGTAACCTGGTGAATCAGCTCAATAACAGACCTACTTTACCTTTACGGTTCCACTTTTACATGCAGTCAATGCTTTACTTTCATTAGTTCTAAATGTACTTGTACTAGTAATGGCTTGCATGTGCTCGCATCTCTCACCAATCAAAAATAAGCAATATGGATTTTTGGCGTTTCGTACCTCGGAGTGTGTAGACCATAGTTGTACCTTTCCGGTGTTCAAGGCTAAAAGCAACTTTTCGAATCAAATATCATTAATGAAAAGTGCTTAGTGTATTAACAAATTATAACTTACTATGTTTCTCGTGACAAACTCCATACCAGTAATTAGAGACTCGCACTGTAACTTGAAAGAAGCTTTATTACTTCCTCCCAATGCTTTATTTTTTACTACATCATACTTTTCAAAACCCCATAAGGAACCGACCCACTCACGGCCATTTAACTTGTTACAAGCTATAACGATATTGCCTTCTGCCTCAGTGTATGGCGAATTAATGCTGAGGCATTCCCATGCATCATACATCTGTCCTGTATGATTAAGTGGACGTTTGGCATAATCACGTGAGTTTAAATTCGGATAGTTAGTGTCATCAACCAAATCATCGGGCGGTTCGTACTTTTCCGGCATTTTATAGACTGAACTACAGTTTAAAGGAAACATTTTGTGGTATTTGTTGCCGCTTTTTAATAATCGTAAAAATCAGATTGGAGAAATATTAATTCGAAGCTACCTAAATTAATCTCTTTTTATATAAAGCTTGTGCCTTCACGGGACAAAAAAACCGGCAATTCTCAAAATTGTGGCTTGTTTATCATGGGTAGGGTTACCAATTCATAAACAGAGCAAATCGAGAAGCGCTTTCAAATCAAAAGCAATTATTGCATAATCACGTAAATGAAAGTTAGCTTTCACGTTTGCAGTCAGCTGTTTACCAAGCGATAGGCAAATTACGGAACAGAGCTTCAGTAACGAACGCGTGATTCGAAGTTATTATCATATTTAATATATATTTGGTCATATACTGAATATCGTGGCTGCTTCAAAAATTTATAAAGCACTGTTGTAGGATTTATTGTGAGCACTTATAACCGCTAGGGGACCAACTTTCGTTTTGTCGTTCTTCGTCAAACACACTTGTGGAAATGGCGCGATAAGGAAAACGCTACAAAAGTGGCTAAAATAATTTGCCTCGCTTAAGTGGATTGGAGGCCATGCAGGTAAGACGTAACTCCCATGAGTACAACTTACTCTGTCGTACATTTCCGTTCTACGTCACGTTACGTTCGAATTGTTGCCACTCGATGCAATCGAGTCTTTATAGAGGGAAATCTTACGTTTTGTGTTAAGGTATTTAGGTTGGGAACCACTGACCACTCTGTTACTTTACTTATGTATGTTTATATTAGGTAAAGTCGTCGTCAGTGTTCATTGACTAATCGGTTTTTTTAATATGATGTAAGCTTCCACGTTTCTATCCGTCCTCCAAGGGTCGCATTTTCATCAAACTTAGCAAACTAATTTCATTGTAGACTACTTAACTTATTTAGGGTCCTTGGTAAAAATATCTCATCCAACCTCTCGCAAGTTTTCTTAGGTTTAGAATTCTTTTCAATTTCTTTCATCTTCAATTTGAATGTTATTAAGTAAGCCTTTCATTTTAAATGTTGCATAATTCACGGAAACCTACATTGGATTTATATATATATAAATTAAATAAATATATTTGTAACTTAAATAACTAAATATATATATAAAATAAATAAAATAAAAAAACCTTTATTAGTCAAGATCGGAAATCGGTCAGTAAGATTGGACATCAAGAGGAACTTAAGATACATCCAACTTTTATTATGCAGATCTAAACTTGTTGCAATTTCTGAGATACATAATCATTTTTGAGATTCATCTTCTTCAGGGATTATATTACATCGCTTTATTTAGCAGACTTGTCGCTTGCTCAAATTAGAGACGACTAAAACAAGGGCAATTCTTTGCTCCCTTCCAGCGAACTTCTTCTGCCTGCTCGTTATAGCAAACAAAACAAAGCATGCGACTAATCGCCAACTATCTCATTAGCCAAAAAAAAAAAAAAAAAAACATATCAGCGATTTAACGAGACACGCAATCCGTTTGAGCAAAACCGGAACTGGAAATTCTTCTGCGCACAACAACTAAATTATGCGATTAGAGGATACAATACATATGTAATGTATGTAATGTAATTGTACTTATGTAATGTGATCAAAGATAGCAAAAATCGAAAAAGCGAAATGGTCGATACAATCTACTAATTTTTTTTATTGACAATTTTGTCAATTACGTTCAAATTTGATTGAAATTTTCATATACCGCACAAAACTAGGTTTGATGATATTGGACTAATAAAAAATCCGCCAATCAGATTAATTATAATTAAAAAGCACGGTTTCCGAGTACTTGTCTTAAAAATGTAGTATTCCGGAAAAAGAGTGTTTCTTCCGACTTTTTCTTTGAAACTCAATAGCGATTTGATTAACTTGAAAAACATTTAAATTTAGCATAAGCAAAAACATTATAGACTGGCGAAAACAGCTTTTGAATACACTATAATACTAATAATACTTTTGTCGTTATCTTCATGAAATATCAAAACTTCATCTTGTTTATATACGCAGGGGATGCTTTTGATTAGAACTCGGAGAATGTTGAGTCGCCCGAAAACAACTTACGTTTGAGGAATTTTATGGAAAAATCGGTAGAAAGTCTTTCAAAAAAGGTACTTTTTTAGGCGGTGGTCGTAAAAAAAAATATTCCAATCCAATTCACTTTTAAAACTACACCGATAACCAATATGTCAGTGTGCAGACATCAAACGGGCAAGAGATGAGTTTGCCCATTAACTTATTTACTGATAGAAGAATTACGGATCAATCCATAATTTAATTACATTTAAATTTTAAAGCTTCAAACAAGTGTCTGCGTTTAGGGAAATGAGAAATTTAATGCAAATATTTATGGTACGTTCTTGTTTCTTTTTTCAATTCTTTTTGATTACTCTTATTATATATTTGGAAATTGTTGATACAATTAAACGATTTATAAAACACATATGGTGTTTTTAATAATATTAATAATGAGAATGACTAAATAATACTAACAAAGCAACGATGCGAATGAGTAAATAAATTATCAATATTTACTGTACATTTTTCTTTCTTTATAAATTACAACTTCGTAATGCATTGCCTAGTTGCTCAGAGAGAGAGCGCCTTTATCAATTAAATTTCACTTCTGATACTTATATTACAACTAATTTTAATTTGTTTTTTGTTTTTTTAAGTTTTTTATATACATCTTTCACGTGCTTCCTTATGCACAAGTATAGGTCTTTTGCTTCTTAAAAAAATGTTACAACCTCTACACTTTGCATTAAAATAATGTAACAATTTTCCACACATATTTGCAATATAAAAGATTTAAAGAAATTTTAAAAAATATTGATTCGAAATTAATTGATTTTGAATTTTTCAATTCTTTTTTTCATCTGTTAGATTTCTCATATTAATCTCTTTTTGGAAAATTTATCATTAGATCTATGCAAAGTATAGCTTGTAATATTTAAATCCCATATAGTTTGCAGCAACTATAGGTTTTAAACAATTTAATTAATTTGCATTATCTATTTAGTTTCTTTACGCTTTTTCCTTCTTCCAAGGTGTTCAAAATTATGTTAAAAAAAAACAATAAAAAAAAAAACAAAAGAAATAAAACATATTTTTATCCCAAATTAAGTATTGTGTGTGATTACAAAACATTTCCTCCCCATTTCCCTTTTTAGGCATTATTTGAGAAATTCAGTTTCGAAAAATTAATTCCAAATTTTCGTTTAAACTAATTACATAAATAACTAAATGGTAAGCGTGCCTGGTGCTGTCGAATTTTTCAATGAATATGAATGAAGGCAGAAAAATGTCTAATATTCATAATTCCGATGGATGTCCACCCTTTTGGATGTGTGTGTGTTTATGTGGATGTGTAAATTGCCCATTTTATTTACTAGTTATTTATGCATTTAGTTAAATAATTTGCTTATAAAATAAATAAGTTTTTCCTTTTAAAATATATATCTCTAAAAAAAAAAAACAAATATATATATATATAATGTTTATAAAAATACATGTCCACATATCTTCATAGACCAATCAAAGCAAATAACAAAAGAAAAAATTTTCTTTTGAAATATATATATTTTTTTTTTATAAAACAAAATTTCTTCCTTTATAAATATAATGCGGCGGGGTTGGTAGTGTTTAAAAAACTAGAAATTTTTGTTATTGTTTACACACACATTTGTAGGAATATTGCAAAAACTGAACTCGATTTAATGCATTGTTACAAAAGCAAATCAATGTGTCCACTTCGAGTGGACACTCTATTTTTGAATTTAAAAGGAAAAAAAAAAAAAAAAAAAAAAGAGGAATAATGACAAAGAAAAAAAGTTATTTAAGTAATAGAAAATCACCTTCAGGTATGTTCAAGGATTCATGATTCCATTGTGATTACATTTGTTTAGCTAGTTTGTTTTTCTTTTTTACTTGGAAAAAGACATCTATCTGCTCCTAATACATTCTTTCTTATCGTATATATGCAAAATCAAGAATAATTTTTCAACTTGGTCTCAAGCAATTTCACTTTTTGGTCATTATCTTAAGATAATCTAAGGCGTTTTGAGCTGCCTGCTTTTGTGCGTCAGCCGGTGTTGGCCCAGAACCATGGCATACGCCTACCGGTAAGGTGGATATTTGTACCAAACATTGATATTGCCCAGAGAAAGTTTTCTCTTCAATATCAACATAAGTTACTTCAAATTGGTTCTCCTGAGCTATTTCTGCAAGCAGTTTAATGTAGTCGATTTTAGTACTAACCAAGCAAGTTTTCTGTAATAAAAGAAAAAGAGCAAGAATTATATCAAAGTAAGAAAAATGATGCTCAATATTATCTTAATAAGTACTACGATTATCGAAATGCACAACTTTATGAATGAACGTTCGTAATAATAATTAAAGAGAGGCGAGACGAACACACTATCACAAAAACATGAAAAAGAAAACAGAAAAGGAAAAGAAAACCCAAATCCGATCCATTCAGCTAATTTCATTCGAACTACAAGTTTTTTATAAGATCACAGAGTTCACGATAGATTGGGTAAGTCTTTACCATGCCACGACGACTTGCTTGATTCGTTATAAGAAAAAATATTGCAATTTTTAGAATTCCGTAAGAGAAAACGCTTAGTAATAGTACTTCGGCCCGCTGAATTGGTGTGCAGACTTTGGATCGGGTGGGCAAATTTTTTGAACGCTTTGCGGTATATCCCTTATAATTCTCTGAATGGTACAAATGCATAGTTTACAATACATTTTGATGAGCGTTTGTTGATATTAATAATTTAGCATAAAAGTTAAGTTATTTTTTGGACTGGAACCCATTTTAGCGTTCTTATGAAAAATAATGTTTTACATAAGTCAAAAATGTCTAATTGCTAATGTTTTATGGTGAAACTCTGTGCTTAGTAAGTCAAGTATTGGGAATTCGGATCTTATAGATCCATTTCCTAGACCACGGTTCTCATGAACTCTTCGGAAACTAAAAATTAATAAAAACCTTGACAGTTGAGTTGAATTTGCTAACTTTAGACCGTGTTGACGTTTGAGCATCCTCCAATACGCTTCATGTAACTTATGCAATTACATAAAAATAATGCACAACTTTTGGTGTATTATTAATTAAGCAAAGTGTTGTAGGGTTTCTAATTCTAGGCCTAGGCCGGGCTTTAGTATTCTTACTTGTTTTAGTTCGTAATTTGGGTAGGGATATAATATTTTCAACACGGCACACACGAATGCCAGCCAAGTTCATTTGTTAATTTACCGAAAATTGGCGAAAATGTTCACGTTATAATTTTGCAACCATGACATGATTTTTATGATAAAGTTTCCATTGTCTTAAGCATTATAAAAATTTCACCTACCCTGAGTTATGAATTGTTTCAAATTTTAAAAATTTCATTTAATATTCGCGCGGAAAATCGAGTTAATGAATTTATTAGCTCACCTGGAGTTTAACAAGTTTCTTGCCAGTGGAATTTTTAAGTGTTTTATGGAACTGTGAGACTTTATTACTATGTTGACTGGTTAAAATGGGCACAGTGATATCTTTCAAATCACCATAATAATTTTTCTGCAAAAGAAAAAAAAACATAAAATGATCATAACACTTTTATGTATATGTTCTTGTAATATCAAAAATACCAATACGTGTGCAAAATAACACACACAATTATCTGGTGACTTGAAAAACATCAACAAAAAATACGCTTTCATAATGACAGATTATAGATTGAAAACTAAAAAAAACGAGTCCTCATCTAACATTCGACGCGAATTAGTTTTACAATATTAAAAAATAAAAAAAAAAGTAAAATTAGAGCAAAACGTCTTTAATACTGAGTTTTTACTAAGTCTTACGAGTCTTCTTGTGTTTCGAGTTAGGATGTATATAACATCTTAGTTCAAACGTTTGAATATTACTTACATCTGAATCCAATTCAGATCGTATAGTTTCAAGGATCTGACTGTTGTCGAGTGGAGTTTCCTGCAAACGTGTCCACATCTTATGAGCAGCCATACGTTTGGCAATTTTCTTACTCTTGCCTTTGCCGACTTCACGAAAATTTAAAATAGTGCATGCAATGGTAAAAAGACGTTCATGTGGCAATCCCACCTCCGTTTCAGTCTCATATGTTGGTGGAGGCCAACGGCGAGACATGCACATTTCCTGAAGCCAACCAATTGGATTACCAACAACTTTATCTGCACCACTATGATATAGAATATGAAGAAATTTTTTTTTATTTTTAATAACATGTACATACTCTCCACTGCCAGCTGCATTATTGGCACCAGGATCTACGATACCGTCTTGGATGTTTATATTATTATTGAGTACATTTGCTTGGGAGTCAACTATTTGTACGCCGGTCAATTTATCAATTAAACCCCGAGCAGCTGAATGCTTGGCTTCTTTTTTAGAACGTCCAGCACCCATAGCTGTAAATGGTACATCTTTATCGTTAAACGATACGCGATATCGAAATGTCGGCTCATGAATAGCTCCCTCGATTTGTACTAATTCATAGTTAGGTGTTATGCCTCGACGGCTTAAAATCTCTTGCAGCAGCGAGACTGGTGTTTTCATTGCAAAACCATTGACATCGGTCTGCAAGATAAAAATTAAATGACATAAATCTTTTAAAAAATCATATATAAAATAATTACTTCGGCTAAAACTAAATTGTTGGGAAAAATTTTACTTTCTTAATTTCTGAGGATGTCGAATAAATTCTATCGGGTATAACCTGGCAAGAAAGCTTACAATACGGCTAATGCAAGAAAGCTACGCTGTTTACTGAGATGACTATTTGCTCCTCAACTTAAAAGCCGATATTACCATGGACAGACTATAGAATTACATTCGACATCCTGTCGTCACACAAAATCTGAAATATAATCTCTTGTTTGAGGATTTGCTGGTACAACTAATTCCATTCAATTTGGCTACCAACACTTTCTCTACAAAAAAAAAAAAAAACTTTTCTCTTCTCTGAACACTTTTTTTTTCGTCCTCCCATCGCACGTAGCCTAGTTGCCTTTCCTTAATTAATTAAATAAAAAATATTTATTTAAAGCAGTTCTTACCAATTTAACTGAATCCTCCAGGGACAATTTGCTGGCCGTAGTCGCTATTTTAGTCATTTTCTTGCCATAAGGAAAAGCAACAACCTTCGGCTTATTGATGTTATTATTAATTCCAATAATGCCTTCAATCGGTTGTCCTTGACCGTTTGGCACAACAATTGGACCAACATTGCTAACTATGGCATTAGAGTTGATTGCATTAACAGTATCATAGTGACGGCGTGGTGCAAAGCCAGATTGATGGTTAGCTTCAGCAACGCGTATAGCTTCCATTTCTTTTTTTTATATTTGTCGCTATGATCGTCGTTCCTCTTATGTTTTTTTTAATAAGCTTCTGAAAATGATAAGAATGATATCGTTATAACACAATACGACGAAATCAATAATTCGCATATATATAAATGAAACGTGAAATTGGTAGTTACTGCGTAAATTATTTAAGTAATAGGAAAATTTGGCGATACTTTCGACTTACGTTTTCTTATTGATTTGCACTGATTTTTATTTAAAAATAAATTATAATTTGCATCAAATTTATCTTCAAATAAAGAGCAGCAAAATCGGCTTCTTTCATACACAATAAAAGTGGAAAAACAATATATATGATCTCTCTGAAAAAAAGATATATCAAATTTATATATACAATGAAAATTTGAATTGTCAACCCTTATGTCAAACAAAAAAAGAGTTACCATGTATCAACCATATAATAGTAATTGAGGTTAAATTCAAGAATATTTTATAGTTTCATAGTATGTAATTTTTGTATGGCATATGTACATAACTCGATCATTGTGATCAGGAAAAGTGGTGCTCAACATATTTAAGCGCTTCTATCGGTGATATTTTTCATAGAACATTTATTTATGAAAAGTGTAATGCAATTACATATGTATATTATGCAGAGTCAAACTCTGCACACGCAATTTATTCCATAAAAACAACTTAATTTCAAAAGGGGTAGGAAAGAAGTAATACACATAAAAAAAAGGCGCAAACTTACAAACTTAAGACTGAAATATGTAATCTTAATTTACCGCCCCTTAGACAAGGAAATGCACGCACAGACGGGTTAGGATATAAATTTCTAATAAAGTTTTAATCGTCACTCAGAAAGTCATCATCAAGATTAACATCTGTGTCGATATTATCATCCAATGTTATGCCTTCTATTTCCAAATCTATATCATCATCTTCATCTTTTGAAGTTAGTGCATTCTCATTGCATATTATCGATGTTGGCATAGGGACAGTTGAACTTATAAAATCGTCGGATTTCTTGTAATCTTTTACTTCAACTTTGGCATTGTTTTCGTAAATACCTTTTTGCTGAGCCAATTGCATTTCCTCGTAAACGTTACGTTCTGTATTAAGGGGAAGCGACGCAGCAGCGCGAGCAGGTAATTTTTCATGTTCTTTTTGTTTAAGAAACTCTTCAACTTGTAAAGCTTCACCTAATCCAGGAAAGAGGTTTTCATATTTGCTGGGATCCGCCAAAGATTGACCGGCTTTTTCATTGAATTTCGTTAGCTCTTCACGCCATAACTCCACTACATATGATATTTGGCTAGGAATGTAAGTTCTAGCGAAAAACGTTGCCTCTGGCAGTCTATTTGTTTCGATGAGTATGTCCAAGCATCGTTTTTTATCAGAGCGTAAGAATGCTGAGAGGAATGCTATATTGTGACGACCTTGTGCTGAGCCATTCTTGCCTAGTAGCTTAAGCATTTCTTCGTCGCCCGAGGCTGTAGCTAACAGTAGAAGGCCGCTAAAATCATTGGCCTTTTCCATGCATTCCTTAACCAACGACATATTGTTTTTACGCGAAGCTACATCAGCCAGTTGAGACCATTTTTGGGAGTTATCAGCTTCTCGTGCCAACTTTACAGCCACCTCCAATTCACCTGTCTGTAATGCTAAATCAAACTTGTGGTCGGGATCTGTAGACACCTGTAGGGCTTGTGCTTTAAAGCCTTGCTTTTCTAAAAAGTGAGCCACACGTGTGCGAAGTTCTTTAGGTATTGTGGGTAGTACTAAGTCGGCGCGTTCAAAGTCACGCCGCATTACTGCTGTCTGGTATTCCAACACAGAAAGTTGCAAAGCGAATGAGACTACGTTAAGTTCTTTATCACCTAAGTATAAACGATTGTCCTTCGGTACATATCCTAATAAATACATTGTTCGATCCAAGTGCGAAATGGTAACAATTTCACCGCCAACGTAATAGTTAATACGATTTACAGAATTAGTGTAAATAAAGCAGTCGCCGACCCAAAGGCCAGTTTTAACCACTTCATTGATTTCATCTGTCAAAAAGAATAAAAATTTATGCGTCCAAAATTTTTCACACATTTCGTCTTAAACTTACTCAATACATCGAAGGCACTTTCAATGCCGTCGTCTTCTAAGCCTTGTTTATTTTCCAAAGCATTTGATATGGCTCCCGTATCGACAGATAATATAAAGAAAGATTCATCGGTAGCCAAGCACACTAACGTGCCGGCCTCATTCCAAAAAACATGACGCGGCTGTACTTCTATGCGTCGGACTAAAGTAACAGTTTCCCAGTCATAAAAGGCCAAGTTCGACGAAGTCTTCACGCCAAACAAATAGCCTCCGTAAATGTTTTCGGCACCATATTCAGGCGTAAAACTTTTGCGTTCCTTAAAATTGCGGAACAAACGCACGGTCCCATTGTTCTCTCTTATAGCATATTCGGTGCTCTCTAAAGCCCAAACAAATTCTTGAGCTGAGCCAAAAGCTTTATTCCGCAAAGCCATCGAAGTATAAATTATGTATTCACCATCCCCACAAACTACCACGAAACGGCCATTAGGGTTATGTGCTATAGTCTGGGGATAAATTTCACAAGCGCCCATATCTTTAACTGCTACTGGTAATCGCTCACCGTCTTTAATTTCCGTTCCATCGGCCAAAGCCTTCAAGTTAACCTAGATGTGGAAATTATATTCGCTTCAGACAGGGGGCAAATCTTTATATTTTAATAGTGTTGACAATGTGTATTGATGAATATGAAAAATGAAATATGTTTGCAGTTTCGTACCGTATGTAATTAGCCGTTTATGTGTGACTACATATACAAACCTGCTGCATTTCCGAGTGCTTTGCCCAAACAATTTTGCCTCCTATGACGTCCATAGACATGGCTGGCTCTTCACGGCCTACTTTAATGATTATGGAACCCTCATCATATCCTAAAGCCACATTGTTGGTGCCTCTCATGCAAGCAATAGTCCAAACACGTTCAAAGCCATAATTTAGACAAGTTTCCAAGCGATAAGTACCCGAATGCCAAATACGTACCGTACCGTCTTCTGATCCTGTTAATACTATAGGTAGCTCGGGGTGAAAGCTTACTGCTGAAATATTTTGAGCATGACCTTCCAGAGTCTGCACGCAAGTCTTATTCTGATAATCCCATATTTTTACTAAGCGATCATCAGCTCCCGAAATCAAATAGGGTTTGTCCCCACCATGGTAATAATCGATGCAATTAACGCCTTTCTCGTGACCTTCCAAAGTAAAGTTGGCAAAATTAGATCCTAATTGCCAAACTTTTACAGTTCGATCTAACGAAGCTGAGGCAAAGGTATTGTTATCTTTTGGATTGAAAACAATTTGCATGACGTAATGGGTATGACCTTCAAACACTCGTTGACAAGCCCACATTTTCTCCCAATTCCATAGCTTAATAAGCATATCATCTACAAATGGATAACAAGAAGCATTTCACTACATCACTTGAAAAGAAGGACGAAATCTTTTTTTTTTTTTTGTATTTTCTCCACTCACCGCTACTTGTTAATATTAGTGGTTGTTGGGGATGAATTGCTATACATCGAATATAATCCGAGTGAGCTTCGTACGAATGCACTTTCTCCAAAGTATTATAGTTAAATATGCGTATTTGCATATCATCAGATCCAGTAATAAGCCAATTCTTACGGGAAACGAAGCGTCCAGCACGTACAGGGACATCGCAAACTTCAAAATCTTTTACTAAGAGTTGGTTTTCATAATTCATAATGTGTACGTGGCCATTATAAAGAGCACATAACATCCATGGTTCTGATGGATGTATATCGACGCATTTAACCCGATCTGAACGGGATGTTAAGCGACGTTTAATGTCCAATTTCAAGGGCATTATGCGACAAACAAGGAAACACTTTAAAGTAAAGTAGTGATATTATTTGGAATCGGAATTTGCAATCGATGGAAAAGTTCACTTTCTAATGTTTTGATATCTTTTATTAGCGTCTTGCGGAAACTGCGACTATTAAGAAAACAATAAAACATGAGTAAGAAAACAATAAAACACGAAGAATTTTAAAAATGTAGTTTTCCTTACTTTTAATACACAAAGTATATATTATTTGCAATTTCTTTTAAAGTTTATTACTTGTAATTAGAAAAAGTTGATGATATCAAGAATAATTGGCATTCGTTTTCTCCAGAAGCTGCCAGACTGAAGAGCTAGTTGTTTGGTATTATTTTGGTTTATCGGGCATGTAAATATGAAAGTGGGATTTGCTCACGGATTATCATAGTTGCCAAATTAGTTACTGTCCAGTCTTGTCACTGGGCCTTTTTTTCTCCAATAAACTCACATTTTCAACTCACACACAATACAAGTCCCTATACTGGAGTAGTCGAATCGCTCAGGTAACATGTTTCCAATATACGAGCGGTATATTTAACGACAATTTAGCCTTTTGAGGATATTATAAGGAAGCCTTCACAGACTTTTGGTCTGGATGGAACAATCAATCAGGACCGCCTTCAAAAAAAAAAAACTCTGATAGTACGCAAAACTTTAGTTGGGTCTAAGGTTAAATTTGCGCATAGATAATCTTGCAATTTACCGAAATAAATGCGAAAGAATGCAGACATTCGAAAATAGAGGATTTGTGATCTATAGCTTATTTTTTAGTTAAATTTATAGTTCTATCCATCGGAGACTGAGTCAAAAAAACTTTGAATAACATTAGTAAAGTTAGAAACATATTTGCAATGTCCGCCATCAGCCAATATTTAAAGAACAGGGAAAATATTTTATAATCAGGCAAACATATTATATTATGCATTTATATAACTTTTTTTGGCCTTCAGCTGGTCTGAATAGTACTTAACGGGTATGTTAAATTATCCTGAATGAAATGGAACAGGAGCATACGTGGTTAAGGGCTCCTTATGCGAATGTCTAGAATTCCAGTATCTTTTGCATATAGAAACGATGTTATCGATCTTTCAGTTTTGTTGGTTGCTCTTGCAATTGGTTACTTTAAATTACCTACAGTAGCCCTATTAAGGATTTTGAAGAACACTCTTATTGTGTTGGTTGGTTGAAAATACGTTTAAAAAGCTCATTCTTTCTTCAATTTTTAGGTTCATTACAATATTGCCCGTCTAGCGGAAACTGTAGCTTACAGTAAGCTAAACAACTTTCTATGAAAATGAACAAAAGCTACACATCTTTTTATGGAAATGTATAACCCATAATATACCCGATCTGTACATAAGTTTATATATATATATGAAATTAAATAAATATTTTTCGAATATCAATTCAACTAATTAAAAATTCTGTGCATATATTGGTGCTTAACAATCACGTCTATTCATTGAATGATTTGCCTGAAAATCAAATACACGATTTCTTGATTAAGTCCCGAGAGATATTATCGACACAAATATTTGCAGTTAAATCTAATATATAAGTGCTTTAAATTGACCGAGAGCTGAAGCTTGTACCGACAGTAAGATGTTTACCAAGGTGTCCTTAAGTTATTAAAATTTATTTACTTCTTTTAGATTATTGATCACAGTTGGATCTTCATTATCAAAGAAGGTTATCAACTCACAAAATCATGACCCCATCTTGTGAAAAATGATACCACCTCTTTTCTTGCCAAAAACTTATGCATACCATCATCTAAATATTACGACATTTCCCTTAAAGAAAAGGACGACTGCGTCTCTCAACTGTGGCAAATTACGAGAGATCTTGCTAATATTAAAATAGCATGTAAACTTTTTTTATTATTGAAATCTGTTATCCAATTCTGCATTCGGGCTTCATTCTAACCATATTAGAGCCATTTTTAATTAACTACGATTATATCGATTACCATCTCCGCGTCTAACCACGTCCTTATATTCGTCCATATTACGCATGCGACGTAAGTACTCGGGATCATCACTTTCTAGTTGTTCTTCAATGGCAGCCTTTTCTTTTTCCTCCGCATCGGTGGGATCTTGCGCAGCAGCTAAAGCCTGAACTTTGTTAATTTGAGCAGTTTTTTCTTCATCCGGAAATACGCCTTCATCTACGCGTTGTTGATAGAACTCGTCGACTGTCATGACGGGTAAACTGGGATAGCCCATGCCGAAGACAGCCTTTTGAGCAGCATCACGAGTTATAATAAAAGGTTGCAAGGGCTTCGCTTTAGACCGCGATAGATGTTGATGATGGCGACCTGATCCTCGACTACATTGAGGTTTGCTCATTGATGACTGTTGTGGTAGATCCCATTGGGTAATTCCTGCTGCATCATCAAGTTTGGTCGTACCAAATTCAGCTAGTCTTGCTTTACGCATTTCAACGATACTCTTTTCTAATGTAATCGAATCCAATTCTTCCACAGCCTCCATAATACTTCTCTTAATCAATTTTATAAAAAAGTCGCGTTTTAATTCATCATCTGCCGTGTGATTGCGAACGACGTCTTTCAACTTCTTAATGTATTCGTCCAATTCCTTCTTGCGTTTGAATTGAGCGATTTTATTGTTTCGTGATGTTGCAGCGGCCACCAATTGTTCTACGGCATCCATGGTGCTTTTATTCGGTGTTTGATCGTTTCCCTCCTGATTATTACGTTCAAAATGTCTTGGTAAGTCGCAAAGGTCATACTCATGACAACGCCGGATAAAATCTCTGTAATCAATAATAATATTCTTCGTAATAATGCGAACGCACAGAACTTTTCAGCTTTCTACCTAAAATAAATATCAGCTACTCTAAGAACATCAGCGCGTTCCTGCTCGTTGCGTTTTAGAGCCAATTTTCCAAGAAAGAAAGGTAATAGTAAGTATTGCAATGACTCTGTAGATATTTCGTCTATTAATTCGTTGGCACTAAACAGTTGAGTTTCACTAACTATGCGGGTAGCCAATTCGAAATCTTCCATTGCCATGACAACTTTACCCTAATTAAAAAAAAAAAAAAATCAAATTAAATGTAGAGACACAAGTTGTCACATTCACTCACCTGGAAATCCGGCCCATTGAATTCTAAAGACGTATCCTCCAGGAATTCGTAAGTTTTCCAACCCTCCAAGAAGACGTCCTGCAATTTTCTGCCCTCTTCTTCGGCGACTGTATTACTTTCGCCACTCATTTAGGAATAACTCCGTTATATGTGCTGTTTCGTTAAAAAAAGTTTGTATTTGTTTAATAATTTTTTGTGAAAAAAACGCATATAAAATCAGCTGTGTTTTTGTTTTGATAAGTGTTGTTGGTTCTACAATTTTTCGAAAATGACATTTTCGCGTTTTTGCACGAATAAATGTGAACACCAGAACATCAATCACAATTAATATGTATAGTAAAATTAATATAATAGATTAGTTTTGAATATTTCTTGAAAAACTGCACAAATTTAAATAAGCGGTAATTTTTTTCTTTTTTTTTCTTCTTGGTTTGACTTAAGGGCTCAGAGGGATAAAACTATTGTGAATGACTTGCAAACAGAATCTTACGGTTGTTGTCTATTGACAAAAAATATTAATAAAATCAAATTTAACTACGTATTTTCTTTCAAGCGATGGCAGATTACGATTCCGATGACGAAAAGTCACAACTTGATAAGTTACGTTATGCGAAGGTGCCTCGTGGTATGCATGTTAGCGGTTGGGACGATGATGCGGATGAACTGATCGAAGAAGATAGAAACCCTCAAGGTTACTTAGCAGTTTGTTCAAATATATATACTTTTATAATCTGTGCGTGTGCTTATAGCTAGCATTGAACGTATGATCTTATGGGCGGTGAATGAAAACAAGTTGGGCGAGGTTCGTGAAATTCTTCAATTGGATGCTGAGGCCGTTTCTGCAATAGACGATGATGGCTACACACCCCTACATAGAGCCTGCTATAATAATTTTATAGATATAGCCAAATTATTGCTGCAGTATAAAGCAAATCCGAATGCTAAAACGAACTTGGGTTGGACTCCTCTTCATTCAGCTTGTAAATGGAGCAATGCTGAATGTGCGTCATTGCTATTACAATACGGAGCGGATGTTAACGCTCAATCGGAGGGCAAACAGACCCCTTTGCATGTAACCGCTACAATATCAAATTGTCGTAATACTGCTACGTTGTTATTAATGGATCGGAATATTAATGCACAGGCCTTGAATAATTCCGAAGAAACAGCAGAACAAATTGCTTTGAGAACCGGCTTAACTGGACCTGTATTTGAAATGGGGCATCCCGCTTATGATATAGAAACTGGCCTTATAGATTAATTTAACGGAATACATATATATTTCAAAAATATTTTGATTAATGAATTAAAAATCCTCTACCCGCTTTGCTTTTAAAGTTGTGCTGTGAGTAAATTGCACTTTTCTGGCTATTCACGTAATCTCTCCAATAGATATAATGAAAAATTTATTGATAATATTTGTACAAATGAAATAAATAAACTTTGATTAAGACCGTGGTTTTTTGCTTTTTCTTCTTCTTCTTTTGTTTTTGAATTTCGTTGGGAAGTTTTTAACAGAAAATGATCGGCTTAACATAAAATTTTTTAACAGAAAATAACCGCGCTAACAGAATATGGCCAAAATTTGATTTCAAATGGATATTCTCCTTCTTTACTGCTTGATAATGCTCGTAGTATCTTCCATACTTTGTTGGCATATGCAAAAAAGAAACAGCGAACGGTTTTCTTTGCGATAAGTCAAAGAACTTTCTTACGGGTTAATCAGTGCAAGTTTTTGAAGTTTGTGAATAATTGTAGAGGAAAATTTGGAAAAAAAATAAAATTTCTTTAAAACAAAAGCGAAAAATCCAAAAAAATTATAACAAAAATAAAAAATGAAAGAAAAGCTTCATTGGAACTGGGGGAGATTACTTGTTGAAGTTTTGAATATAAAGGGGATAAGGCCAGCCAGCAGCCAAGATGAATCACCTACGTCACTTGCATCTCCGTGGCTTGAGGTGAACGCACAAAATGTTCATAAAACGACTTTGTATAATCTATCATTTGATCTTGCATAGCCGCTGGAACGAAATTTGGATTGCCTTGGCCGCCCTCGAGGGAGCCTTTAGCGGTATATCGCATGTAACTTGCTACTGTGGTATCTGGAGGCAAAACAGCGTCATCTTCTATAATGCAACAATCTTTTAAGGTACAACGGCGACCCTGCAGAGAAGATATAGTTAAATGTCTTCCATACCAATTTCCCTACTTTTACCTACTTACAAGAATAGCATTTTTTCCTATGTATACGAAAGAGCCGATTGAAGCAGCAGATACTATTGCTCCTTCGCCGATGAATACGTGGTCTCCTATGTGCATAGGGAAGAATGCAACACCTTTGCTAAATTGTTTGTAAGGCGGCCGTATTACAGCATTTTTACTAATCACACAATAACGACCGGTACGAACATTAGCTAAATCAGCCCGTATTATGGAACCACTTTGCACAATCACCTTACCATTCAGAACGATATTCTGAGAGCCACACAAAATCGTTTGGCGACTAACCTTGTTACCGGAAGCCTTGAAAAATATATTTCAGTTAACTTGAGTTTCAAATTTTGAAATATCGTGAAATCTTTGTCGCTTACTGTTTCTACATATTCATCTTTACTATAGTAAGAATTTGCTATTTCCATTTTCTTATGCTTTTTGTTTAAAAAAAAAAATTTTCATTTGTTTACCTAGAGAGGTAGTAAGCAGCTGGTTTTGTTGGCAACATGGTTGCCAAGTTTCACTATTCTAGTTCCCAAACACATTTCTCAAAACGGAAGTATTCCTTTTAAGGAAAGATCAATTCATTTCAAACACAGTCGGACAATTGGCGAGAATAATAAGGCATTTTTATATATCGTCGAATTAATGCGGCAAAGGTGCATAAAAGGCAACTCGCTAAGCACGGTCAAAAATGCCGGCGAATTCTAACAAAGAAGAAATGCTAAATTTATTGAAGACGTTTGTTGAAGGTGTAGTTTCTGCCAGAAAATTTCGAAAAATTTCAAATAGATGTGTTCGATCTTTCCGGTAAGCCGCTCTCTGGGCGACCATCCTTAATAGACGACAATACTGCCACTTCAGTTCAGCAAAACCATTTCGCTCCACATTCCGAAACTAGGTTCTTGTTCATTTCTAAAAATGTACAGAATTTTTCGCTACACTTATTATATATAGAGGTGTGTTGTAATTGCGGATCAGTTAGATGCTGTTCGAGGAATAAAAGCAAGGAAATGTTATCAGTTGATTTGTTCTTTGTTATTAGAATCACTTGTCTGTCTGCTTCGATTGTCTCAGATCCTGCTCAACATCACCAGTGTACAAAAAAACATCTCTTCCCTCATCTTCTAGTATTATACAGTGGTCGTGGTAGACATTGTGATTATTATCGTTGAAGAACGTCGGAGAACAGCTTTTGTTTAAGTTTATTAATTCAGCCTGTTAGTATGCTCTAAAAACAGTTTTTTTAATTTATCACACAAATAATACCACAATGGCAATAACGTCATAATAACCATAAATAAATGTTATTGTACCCTATATATTACATTTCAACCAAACCATTTCTATGAATATATATGGAAAGAGAATATTCTTTTTTTCTTGAAAATAGGATAAAATCGAATGCCACGCCTATAAAAATTGTATAAAACTATTCAGGAGATGTACAAGGGGATATGAATGCATATTTTTGATACATTTATATAAAAAAGAATATATATTACATTTCAACCAAACCATTTGTATGAATATATATGGAAAGAGAATATTCTTTTACCGCACTATCGAAATGTTGGAGAAGCGTTGCATTGATTGTATTGCTTCTGAAGAGCATTAAAACATTTTTAATAGTAAAATGTAAAGTTGGGCGTAGGAGATTCGGTAAAAACGCAGCATATATTTATATATAAATATGAATATACACATATATATAACTTTGTGAATACAAATTTTGTAACTGAAGGGTAAACATTGCTAACATTTAAGCTGCCTTTGCCTGTTTTTTTCTTTATTCTCATAAGTAAAATTTATAAACACAAGATTCCTCAGAGGATTAAAGAATGAAATAAAATTTGAAAAATGTAATAATTTTAAAACTGAATCATACATTTTGTATACTAATTTTAGGCTATGCAAATTTCAGCACATCAAATTCCGAATCGATTTAAACATGTCCATTAGTCCATCTGCTCATCCGTGTAATGTCTGTTGTCCTCCTCCTGGTCGGTAAAATGGAAACATCGCCTACATACTTGCATACTTGAATTTGAAAGTGAACCGAATAGGTTAAAGGACATGCCTATAGCTCTCACATGCCTAAAACTCAAAACGTCTTGCTTTCTGTGTTTTTTCGGTAGTTACTCATAAACAACAACAGTTGCGCGACATGAAATTTCACTTTTATTTTGAAAAATATAAAAAATCAGCCACGCCTACTCAATGTCATAGAGGATAGATATTTAGTTTTTCTTTTACTTTTAATCTATTTTAGGATAACAGTGACGGGTATAGAAGATTCATTTTCAATCAAGAAATTATCGGCCCACCTAACACAATATTTTTAGTTTGTTCAATTAGTTAAGAATACTTATGATGTTATAATGTTTTTTCTTTGTATTTCATTTTATTATTTGTATGTGTACATATATATATATATAGCATAATATTGAGCAAGATATATTCAGCATGTTTGGCTGATATGATTGTCACAACATGCCTTTGCTTTTGCAATTTATTGCGTTTAGCGTTTATGGGCTGTGATAAGTCTTAAAAGGCAAATAATTGTTTTTTCCTTTAAGCGAAAAATCAAGAATTGGATAAAATCTATACTGATTAGATCGAAACGCTCTAACACTTTTATAAGAGAATTTTCCGAAATGAAAGACGATCGGTGTTCATTTTCGATGAAATCAAAGCAAAAACAATTACGTTATGCGTTTACTCTTTAATCACCTTGATCATGAAAATAAATATTTACTGGTGACTTGCTATTCGCAAGTTTTTAATTGTTTTTCCGCCAGCTGTTACGCATAATGTGATAAACAAGTTCAAACATGTGTTTGTACGCATATTTATTTATGAATGTTGCTTTAGTTTTGTGTGCAGTTTTTTTTTTTTTTTTCTATCCAAATGGAGACTAGATTTTATGACTTTGATATGTGCGTACAAGTTTTTCTTTTTTTTTTTTTGTTATTATATAATTCACTCTATATATAATAATTGAAGGTCAAGTGTAAATTTTTAAACAAATTGTAAATTTATTGCATTAATTGCATTAATGTAAGACAATTGTGTATTAATGCATATTAAATGAATTTCCTTTTAAAAAGAATTTTAATAAATACATTAAACTATTTAATTGTTTTGTTAATGGTTTTTTTTTTTTTTTTTTTTTTTTTTTTGTTAATCAAGTGTTCTTGAAAAGTCTCGTATAACCTTCTAAACCCCCCGTATTATTTAATCAGTCGTCAATGCTGAAAATTGATTCATAATTTTATATTTGAAAAAAAGTCGAAAACAATAATAAACATTTTATGAGCATTTAAGCATATTTGATGCATTTTAGAGGAACAGCGGCTCAAGTTCATGTCACTATCGAACATTTGTGTCATTACAATATTTTTTTAGCGGCGTAGAGTCCTAGCACAAAATACTTTCTAAAAATTTTAAAACTTGTCATCATTATGGGAAAATTTTTATTTGAAATTAGCAATGTTTTGAAACACTTGAGACTTTTGTTTTTTTTCCTCTCGTTTTCTTCCCTTTTCTTCTTTTTTAACAGAAGTGGTGTAGCAAACTCTTTTTTTACGCGGTCTTGTTTACCAGATTTTCAGGTAATACGATTCACTTTTTTCTTTTTTTCCGTTTTCCTTTGGGTTTCTTTTCTGTTTCTTGACAAGACCAAGCCTTTTCATCAAATTTTGAGGTAATACGGTTCACCAATAAGAACAAATACGCTTTTTTAAATGAATATGTTGTTCTAGCATGAATCCAAAAAAAAACAAATTTTCTCAAGAATTTATTTATCGCATAAAAAAAGAATTGAATGTCTTAAAGATCTTCTGGCCGCTGGCTAGCCGTTTTTTTTTAGCTTACAATTTGAATTAATTATTCAGTAAAAAAAAAACAAAAAAATTATTAAATAAATAATATTTTGAATGCACACGACTTTACGCTTACCTTTAGACGCTGGTAAGTGAAGAAAACGAATCTATACTCATTAGAAAAAATATTTTCTTCATCTTTTCATTTTAAATCGTATACATTTAGATCCCTTGAGATTTGCAATTTAAATTAAAAAAAAAAAAAAAATTTGACACCTAACGCTCCATTACAATTTACCCAACAATTTACCGTAAATTTTCGTTTGTTAAAGGGCAACTCCCTAAAGTATTCACAACTATTTGTTTTTTGGTTTATTTTTAATTTGTTTCTTGTTTATTTAGCATAAGGGAGTCAGTTCTCATTAACATGTGTATGGCTTTTATAAAGAATGAAATATGCCTATCTACAACAACAAAGAATATAAGAGCATGAAGTATATTGTATGTGAATATGTGACAATGCGTTTACGATTAGTAATTGTTGGTTTAGCAATTGACATAGATTGTTTTATGTAACTTATAATTGTTGTATCTTTTCACTAATTAATTACTTCTTTCATTCAATATTTATTTTAATTTTCAATTCATTTTAAATCGAAATTTAATTCAATACATATTTAGAGTGACATTTCATATTAGTTATTTATTACCTGTTACCAAGATAAACAATGACGTCCTTTTTGTGATCAATCAAGCGCCGAACAAAGAATTTGTGGCTCGCACAGCCGCATTCATTGTGAATTTTAGAAAATTGTTAAATTACATGTGGTATATATTTTATTTTTAAGCCCGAAGCCATTATCTTTGCGTATGTGATATAAATAAAGACACTATGTAAATTAGCCTATGGCTTTATGATTGCAAATAGGTTGATATTAGATGTATGAATAAATCAAGTTTATTTAAAGCATACTTGTTGCAAAGCCTAATAATAAAAATATTCACTATCATTATCTATAGTCTTCCTTTTATGCGAGTCAGCCAATCAGCAATGGATGATTCATCATGTTGAGTAAAAAAGATGAAAAGACTATAGCCTTTTGCCTCTTATCGGGCAATTTACCGGTATCCTCGCTGCGAAAACTTTATGGTTTCGAGCAGAAATAGTGCTCGAGTTATTTTCAGACATCTTGGACTTTTGCGAACTATTGATTTACTAATACGACTTTGTGCGAATCGAACAAGTGCGAGTCGGAAGAAGAATTTAGGTATGATGAATAAATCGCAGTCGAAAGGAGTTCCCAGCTCAAGTGGAAGATCGATGCCTTGAGAGGCTTTTCCTGATCGCGGAGGATTATTGCCATGAAGTAAAATCCGTTTTTCCGGATTCGTATCCGTAGATAGTATTTTTGCCTTAAGTGTGATCACCTACGTGGACTAGCTGAGCCTTATAACTCTTAGATGTGACAGTTCAAGTACATTATTCCTCGCAAACGCCCAGTAACACTTGCTGGGCATAAATTTTTCATTTTATAAGAGAAGTGAATGACTGTCCTCAGGCAATCAATGCCTTTTCGATCGATTTTTCATCGCTCGTAATAATTTGATGAAGACAATCTTTGCTTTTGCACCATCTTAAGAAATATAAGCAGATGCCAATTAAGCGA